CAGGGTGCCCTGCTACATGAGCCCCCCCATGTGGTGTGTGTGTGATGCAACTAAGCACACGGTTTTCACTATTACAACATGTTCCTCCATCGTCCAGATCCTTGCTGAGAGGCCCACCCCAGGAGGACTCCCTGGGGAGCTCAACGAAGGGGAGTGTGAGTCCCAGGGATTCGACGGGTCGAAGAGACCCACATACTCTCTCTCTGGCTGGGAACCGTGCGAGCTGAGCGTTTTGATTTCGTCGTGTTCGCTCGAAGACCAAATTCGAGTGTAATGGCAGGCTTAATGCCTCGCTGCTTAGGGCCCTCTCGACTCCCCTGCAAAACAGACACATGTTGCACGTTGATTGGACGGTCCCTCACAGAACCCCAGTCTTATTTTGCGTTGGTTGTGGAGTTTTCGCTGCTCAGAAAGCATTGGCGTTGGTCAGACCTTGCTCGCCCAAACCCAAAGTCGAAAGAGCTTCGTTCCCTGTTGCGAGGGCGCTTGCCCATGACTGATTTCAGGCTTGGTCCAACCCAGGTTCTCGACAGACGACGCTGGGCGGGCGAGATGGTGGGAGCGCTGCAGGAGAACCCCCGCAGGGAAGAACGCTAGCTTCTCTCTTTCAGCTCTTGTTTGGGCACCGCATGGACAGGGACTCAGTGAGTTGATCCAGTTGGAGGAGGAACGGGAGGAGGAGGAGGAGCAGGAATCTGAGGAGGCGGAGGAGGAGGAGGAGGACGAGGAGGAGGAGGAGGGACGAGGAGGCGGAGGAGGAGGAGGAGGAAGAGGAGGAGGAAGTCTCTCCCCCCCTTCACTTCTATGACGCAGGCCACGCCGCTGCGAGGATGCCTGCCCACGATCCGCCGGCTGACTTGGGCGAGGTGTTGGAGGCGGTGAAGTCGCTGTACAGGTGGGGCATTATGGTGGTCGTTATCATCACCATCATCATCACCACCACAATTATCATCACCATCGTCACTGTCACCACCACCGCCGCCTTCACCATCACCATCACCACCACCATTAACATCACCACCACCGTCACCATCACCATCACCATCGTGACCAGCACCATCACCATCACCATCCATCGCCAACACCATCATCATCACCATCAACATCACCATTACCATCACCATCACCATCACCATCACCATCGCCATCGCCATCACCATCGCCATCACCATCACCATCACCATCACCATCATCATCACCATCATCATCATCATCATCATCATCATCATCATCATCATCATCATCATCATCATTGTCGTCAAACTTAACTCCGTCATCATCACGACTGCCATCGCCACCGCCATCTGCATCTTCATGTTGATCCTCCTCCCCACCATCAGCTACTCTGATTTGTCCTGTTCCTCTCCCTCTCCATCTCCCCTTTTCTCTCCCTCTCCCTCTGCTTCTTCTTTTTCTCCTCCTCCGTCTCCCTTCCCAGGGAGAACTGGGATGGGCCTGGCCGGGATCGCCGTTGTCGTCGTCGGGCTTCTTTTTGTTGACTTCTTTTTTTCTCGTCGATTGGGGCTAAACTTCCGACCTTGGGGTGATGCGGTCATGGGTACGACTTGGGTTGAGGGCAAAGCATTCCTTCTTTCTGTCTGCCTGTCGAGGGTGAGTCAGACACCCTCGAACATAAGGTGCTCTGCAGGCCAAACCGTAAATTTCCAGGCTATCTGCCTTCACCGAGAGATCGGCAGAAAAACTCGCCATCGATGCCGTCGTTCGCCTGACTCCTGCTGCTCGTCACTGTGCCAGTACTCTTGTGCGGCCGCGCGTCCTCGCTACCGCGGTTGGACTGTGCGCGTGCGTCGCGGGAAGCAACTCAGTGGCGCGCTCGTGGTGTCGTCGGTGGAGCACTTGACCTATATTGTGCTTGCGAGCGGACCTTGGCGCGACCATGGGGGGGACCTTGGCGCGGCCACTGTCACGGACCTCGGCACGGTTTTCAGATGCGTGGCAGACTGTTGTGTGGCTCGTGGGCAGGTCTGGTGCGCCTCGGGAGTCTGATCGGTCAAGGGCCGCAGGATGATGCGCAATCGCGCCGCAGTGCAACATTCCAGAAGGCGACCTCCGATGCCTGAGGCATGGTTCCGCGTGTGTGCTGACGCAAGGATGGTGCCCTATGTGCGGTATGTTATTGTTGACGTGGCGGCGACCGCAGCGCGGGCGTTCAAGGTTGAACGCCGCTGGTTTCCCAGACTGACTCGGCCAATACTGGGCGATCTGCGCTATCGGTCGACGTCATCGCGACGTGAACCTGCCGTATGTCTAGTTGCATTTCTGCAGAGCATCATAAGGGCCTTTCGGTAATTTCAGTTGTGCAATTTGATGGTGTCTATGGGGTTCCAGAGGTCGGTGGGTGTAGTAAGGACGGGATCCAGTCTAACAATTCTACTGGGGCTAGCTTGGTCTGCCTTGGACCATCTGAGCGTTTTTGATTCATCTTCGGCCTGTCTAACAGAGGAAAGCAGACTCATTTTTTTGGGGACACATCGGCGCGAGTGGAGTATTTTGCCCGACTTGACGACGTTACAGAAAGAAAGTGGCGGCGAACGCCTCCGCCATTTCGCGGCAGGAATCCACGAGGACTGCCGGAGTTATGTATGGGGGTGCCTCGGAGTCATGTATGGGGGTGCCTCGACGTGGGCGCGACATCCTCAAGGAACATGCGGGTCTGGGTGACATTTGGGCCCTCATGGCAAGCTTCGCAGTCTTCCCAGCATCGGCAGCATGGGCCTGAACATCTTAAGTTGTAATGGGAAGACGGCTGTAGCGTCCTACTGTGGGGGGGGTCTTGAACTATTTGGAAGATTGTCTGAGGCTGCACAGGGGACTGTCCTCGGAGCGTCTTGGCAGCGTTGCGTCCCTTCTGGGCATCATGTTGGACCACGACGGCTGGGAAGCAACGCGACTGTCATGCTCTGACAACCGTTGTTTTGGCCTGGTGTTGTTCGTGGGTTGGCAGGGGTGAGCCATAGGCATCTGAAAGGTCGTGGACGGATCCTGCGAGGCTCGCCAGTCCTTCTGCAGAGTCCCGAGTGGTTGTTTTGTGCCGTTTCGGGGCATCTTCGGCCGTGTCGGGGTCGTGTTGCGACAGCCTCTCGGCGCCCTTGGGCCTGGCCCGGGTTCCTTTTGGATACGTGTTGGAGGGCTTGCAGTGCGTCTGGGGCGGAACGGGCGCCGCTCTGGGCCAGATGGCTGGAAGGCATAATGCGTGGAGCGCAGTGTTGTGTGTCCGAGGGTCGTTTGTGCCTGTGCAGCGTCGTCTGTGGGCCAACTTGAGGATCTTCGGGGAGCGTCAACGTTTCTGTAGAGGTGGTGAGAGGTCACTGGGCAGTCCTGGGGCCTGGGGGCTCTGGGAGCGTCCTGGGGTTTTCGGGGCAGCCAAGGGCCCGTGTCTGGTGGCTGCGCGGAGGTTTGCCCGTCGCAGGTTTCGGGCGTTGCTTCATGGCGGGGGCGGTACAGGAGAGGGGCTTGGAAGAATAGCGCACCTTATGGGGCCCCAAAGGGGCCCTCTGGGACCTAAACGGGGGACGACAGGTGAACGCTCCATCGCCCCTATGAATCGCCCCCCTCATGAAGCCACGCCCAAAGGTTTACCTTCCCATAAAATCGTGGATCTTTCTGCATATGCGGGGCGAGGCGGCGTCGCGCTTTGTGTGGGGAGCCGTGGGGCCGGGTCGTGCCGTCTCTGGCCACCGCAGGCCGTTGCAGGTGCCCCTTGGAGCGTTGGAGGCGTCTCGAGGCTGTCATGCGAGCGTCGCGTGCTCTCTAGAGATGCCATCTCGGGCGAAACATTGGGGCACGGAGAAAAGGCGAGGAGCCTATTGCTTGTCGATGTCTGTGGCCTCTGAGGGCTCCCCCTACGGCTGTCGTGGGAGCCAGCTAGGGCATGTTTAAATTTTAGGGGAAGGCGGGGGAAAGAGGGGCACACGGAAGCCGTCCCATTCGGCAGCGGCATGGCACGTCGAAGTACGGGGATCGTCTCCGCTATATGACTGGCTGGTAGTTTGAATGCTTCATTTCATCGTTTCCGGGTTCGAAGAACGACACGCGGTAAAAACATATTTCCTCGGAGGCCCGCGCCGACCGCCGAGAAAGTATGTCTGCGCAGTTCTTTTTTATTTTTATATATTTTTTTCCTCTCGAGTAGCTCCAGAAGACGCCGTCGAGCTTGCTCGCAGCATCAGCGTCGACCCAGCTGGCACAGCTGTGCTCCCAGTGCGGGGAGGGAAGAGAGGAGAGGCGCTGCGGGCGAGGATCGAGGGGAGGGGGGCGGGGAGGTGGGAGGGCAGAAGGAATGGAATCTCAAGGGAGCGCAAACACGAATGAAGGTGGGTGGATTAGCGGCGAGTCCCGTTTCCATACGGCATCGACGCGCTCCGTCGCCAGACCAGGCCAGGCAGCACTGGGGCCACGGTCTGAGGGGCGCTCTCCCCGATCAGTGGATCTGGCGCCCGCGCGCCGTATTCTCGGATCCGTAATTCACGTTAGCGTCCGCCCGAGTATGGGGAGAGTACAGTGCCGTTTTTAATACATGCTCCGCGGGCGGATCATGTATTAAACATGCAGGGATTCAGTATAAAAAGCAACGATGAGTTCGTGCATAAATCTATTCATACATCAGTCATGTACTAAAAATCCGATATTTCGAAAAATCCAATGTATTAAAGACTGCCCTGCACCCCCAGAGCCCCGACGCCGTGCTTTTCCGCACGGCGTGGACTCCTGGAGATCTCGAGCCTCGCCGTGGGACCGCGCTTCCACCCCGAGTCGCCCCTCGACGGCCCCGCCCTCCCGGCGGCCGAGCACAGCCCGAGTCCTGCCGTCGTTTTTCTTTTTTTTGTTTGCACGGCGCGAGGGGGATCTTTGGGGAGATCGGAGGAGGAGGAGGAGGAGGAGGAGGAGGGGGAGGAGGAGGAGGGGAGGGGGAGGGGAGGGAGGAGGAGGAGGAGGAGGAGGAGGACCCCCTCCCCCTCCAACTTGTGGTGGTGGTGGTGGTGGAAAACGGGCCCTTCGGCACCGAGGTCCCGATCCTGCCGCAGCCGTTTTTCTCAGGCCGTCGCGCGGAGCAGCCGGAGGCTGCTTCGGTCTCGCCCGGCGCGGCTGGGCACGCGCAGAGATCCCCGAGCGGCCGCGGTGCGTCGAGGCCTCGAGGTCGCCAGAGCCTGCGCCTCCCCCCTCGCCAGAGCCGGCGCCTCCCTGGGGAGGGCGGAGGAGGAGGAGGAGGAGGAGGAGGAGGAGGAGGAGGAGGAGGAGGAGGAGGAGGAGGAGGATCGATGACGGTAACGATGACTATACGCTGATGATGAGGAGGGGGGGGGAGGGGGAAAACACACACACAGACACGATTGATCATCGGTCGATTCACAGGAAGATATGGGAAAAGATGGGAAGCGGGGGGGAAGACAGAAACCCAGAAAATATGGGGGAATCCTGTTACTTGTGTCTATTTATTTGTGTGTCCCAGTTTCCCTTCAGATGATGATGAGGAGGAGGAGGAGGAGGATGAGGAAGCTGAAGATGAAGACGATGGCGACGATGGCGATTCTGATGACGGTGCTGATGGTGGCGACGAGGACGATGCTGCTGCTGATGATGATTCTGCTGCTGTTGATGATGATGATGTTGATGCTGTTGGCGATGATGATGCTGCTGCTGGTGGTGACTCTGATGATAATGGTGGTGATGATGATGCTGTTGCTGACGATACGATGACGATAATGATGACGATAATTTTGATGATGAGGATCGATGACGAGAACGATGACGATGCTGAGGACAATGAAGCTGAAAATGACGACGATGACAATTATGATGATGACGGCGATGACGACGATGCTGATGCTGATGCTGATGATGCTGCTGAGGATGGTGATGAAATTTTGTCGATGACGATGATGCTGCTGCTGATGATGATGATGATTATGATGACAATATTGTTGATGACAATGATGATCTTGATGATAATGGTGGTGATGATGGTGATGATTACGATGTTTATGACGACGATGATGATGGCTAGATGATGCTGACGATGATGATGCTGACGATGATGATGCTGATGATGATGATGATGTTGATGATGATGATGATGATGATGATGATACTGATGATGATGCTGATGATGCTGATTTTGCTGCTGTTGATGATGATGGTGGTGATGATGCTGCTGATGATGTTGTTGGCGATGGCTATGATGATGATGCTGCTACTGCCGCTGATGATGATGATGATGCTGACGATCTTGTTGATGATTATGATGATGATCCTGATGTTGACGATGCTGCTGATGGTGATGATGACGATGATGATGACGACGATGATGATGATGATGATGGTGATGATTCTGATGCTGACGATGATGATAATGCTGATGATGATGTTGACGATGCTGCTGATGATGACGATGACGATGACGATGTCGATGCTGATGATGATGATGACGATGCTGGAGATGCTGATGATGCTGATGATGATGCTGCTGCTGATGATGATGGTGTTGCTGATTCTTCTTATTAGTATCATGACGACAATGACGATGCTGCTGCTGATGATGATGCTCATGATGATGGTGCTGATGCTGATTCTGATGATGATGATGGTGATGGTAGTGAGGTTGCTGCTGATGATGATGTTGCTGATGATGATGTTGCTGATGACGATGATCATGGTTAGGATGATGCTGATGATGATGATGATGATGCTGATGATGATGATGACGATGTCGATGATGATGCTGATGATGCTGATGATGCTGATGATGCTGATGATGCAGATGATGCTGATGATGGTGATGATGATGCTACTGATGATGATGCCGATGATGATGATGATGATGATGATGATGATGATGATGATGCTGCTGATGATGATGATGATGATGGTGATGATAATGATGACGATGATGCTGACGATGATGATGACGACTATGATGATTATGACGGTGGTGGTGGTCGTGGTCATGTTGGTGGTGTGATGATGATGATGATGATGATGATGATGATGATGATGATGATGATGATGATGATGATGATGATGATGATACTGTTGCTGCTGATGATGATGCTGATGCTGATGCTGATGCTGATGATGTTGATGATGATGATGATGATGATGATGATGATGATGATGATGATGATGATGATGATGATGATGATGGTAATGATAATAATGATAGTAATAATGACGGCGATGGTGTTGGTGGTGGTGGTGATAAGGATAATGACGATGCCGACGACGACGAAGGCTTTAATTCTTGACGCTTCAGTCGCCTGGGCACACCGCCCGCGCCCTGGGCTTTGACGGCGCCCCCTCCTCCTCCTCCTCCTCCTCCTCCTTCTCCTCCTCCCTCTCCCCCTACATTCACAATGACTCTGCGGCTTTTGGCTGCGCCCCCCCCGTGCGGAGAGAGCTGCGGCCGCAGAGGTGCGTCCGCCCTGAGTCGGTCCGTGCATGGATGCCCAGGGCTCAACATCTGTGTCCAGCGGCATCTGGCTGCACCCCCCTCCGTTCATTCACAAGTCTCTGCGGCTCTTGGCTGCGCCCCCCCGCGATCAACGGCAGAGATAGCATCGACCAAGCCCGGCAGGTCAGCACGCAGCCTGCGCAAGGTGCGGCCCTGCGGCCAGGCTGCGGTCGGCGGTCTGCCTGCCCCAGCTCCGGACGCATTTGTGCTCCGCAGGGGCAGCGTGGCATGTGGTGGACGGGGGTGCCACCACGCACCATGGTGAGTGCCCACGCCGTATGAGCGGCCCGTATCGCGTGGTTCAGCCTTCAGCGGTCAGGTTGTAGCTCTTCTCGGCGCAGCCACATGCCAAGCCCTCGCCAGGACACCGCATTGTTGGGCCCCCGGACCGCGTGTGTCGGATACGGTGTGGATACTGGCTATCGGCTGGCTGCCAGCCTGCGAACGCTGCCGTGATGTGGCAGTGGAGTGGGGCCAGCCCTTCCACGGTGACACTGGCGCTCAGCGGCAGGCAGCGCCACCCCCCACCTGCGTATCGCCTTGGTTCTACGTTGACCCGATCATGGCGCTACTACAAGGACGTCTTCTCGGGCTCCATGACAGGTGGAGAGAGTGTGTTCGTTAGCCACACTTCCGGTGTCACCTGATGTCTGGCTTCACAAGGGAGTGGCCCTGCACGAGTGGTTCATTTTTCTGCAGTTCGTGGCCGTTCCCCTAGCAGATCAGTCTGCGTCAGCCTCTGACAGTACTTGCATCGTTGTGCCCCCGAACCGCGACTGTCGGATACGTGTATGCACTGGCTACAGGCTGGAGGTGGCGCCACCTCGTGTGCGCTGACCGGGGTCGCCCGCTCATGTGAAAGGACGGGCTTCAGCCGCACCTCTGCGTCAGTGAGCCATGGTGAGTGGGGCCGTTCTCTGCCTGCCGCCCTCTCTTTTTCTTGGTGTTGCTGTGTGCCCCGACTGACGTCCGCACCGGCTCCCTTCCCCCCTTCCTGGCCTCGCTTCCGTGTGTCGTTCGGCCGGAGACAGGCGCCGCCAGAGCGACTTCTCCCCGCTGTTCCAGTACCGTTCCAGTGCTGGTCGCCGCGCTCGTCCCCACCCGTCGGGATGCCTGGCTCGATCACCTGGTCACGCTGTGCCGCCAATGCCGCCGCTCGCTGCGCCGTGGCGTCCCCGCCCGCCGGGATGTCGGCGGCCGACTTCGGCGTTTAATCTGGGTCATTTTGTCCCTTGCATGAGCATGCGCCTCTTCGGCCAATAATCTTCGTTTCGCGCCCCGATCGATGCCCCGCTTCTTGACCTTCGCCAGGGAGCCGCCAACAAAAAATATCCCCACCGGTGCACTTGCACGGCTTCGCGCTTCGCTTGACCTTTCGACGCCGCGCGGGTGCCCGCTCGCGGTCGCGATCAAAAAAGCACCCCCACCGGCCGATCCAGGAACGATGCCCAGGGGAGGCGCCCTTCTCGGGGGAACGCGGCGTCATATGGAGAGCTCGGGAAGTCTCCGTGGGCCATAGGCTTCCTGGATGCCTCTCGGAGTCTCTTGGGATATCTTTCGGGGTCTGTTGGATGCCTCTTGGGGCACCCTCGGGACCTCCTGGTGGCTCTTCGGAGCGCCTGTGGGGCACCTTGGGGGCTTCTTGGAGGTCTCTTGGGACGTCTTGGGGGCCTCTTGGCGAGCTTCAGGGCCTCTTGGGGCGTCTTGGGTGCCTCTTGGGTGCCTGTTGGGGGCTCTTCGGGGCCTCGTGGGCCGGGGGCCGCTTGGGGGCCTCTGGAAGGTCTCTTGGGGGCCTCCCTGGGCCTCTCGGGGCACTCTGGGGGCTCTCTGGGGAGCATTTCGGGCCGTCTTTGGGCCATCTTGGAGGCGATTGATCAGCGAAGGGGGGGTCCTCAATTTGCGCCCAGGAGGCCACAATGGGTTTCGAGCGTATGGGGAATGAATGATTGTTGCCTTCCCGCCGATTTAGACGCTCTAACTATTCGCCGCCCCCCCGTCCATACCCAGGGGGAGGGGGTAAGGGGGAGGGGTCAAGCCACCCCAAGCCGCAAACATTGTCGCTTACTCCCACCCGCGCTCCCACTACAGAGACAGCGCTCGAGTCTCAGCACAGACAGGGGCCGCCATCGGCAACCGTCGGGAACCACCGCAGACGCCAGCCAGGTGCGCGATGCCCACGAGGTGCGCCGCACCTGGCAAATGCGCCACGCGCACTTCGTGCGCGACATTGGGCAGTATGTCGACCGCCCCACCCTCCCTTTCAAATTATCAGCCAGCGTTGACTCCAAATGGATCGGAGGACCGGAGGAGGACGAGAGGAGGATGGGAGGAGGACGAAAGGAGGACGGGAGCAGGACGGGAGGAAAACGGGAGGAGCACAATCAAGCAACCGCAAGCAAGCAAGCGGAAGCAAGCAAACGCAAACGAGCAATAACAAGCAGGCAAGAGCCAGCGATCAAGTGCAAGCAAACAAGGGCAAGCAAGAGCAAGCAAACGATATCAAGCACGCAAGAGAAAGCAAGCAAGTGCCATTGGAAAAGGGTGGGGTCCTAAAGACCAATTGCTTATGATGAGCTAGGACTCCTATCGGGCAAGCTTATTTGGAGAAAAACAATGCAAGTTGACGACGGGTTTATGAGTATTGTGTATTGTGTATTGTGTA